GAAGATGGACACCAACAGGAGCGTAAGCTGGAGCAGCCAGGGCTCGGGGAGCTGGGGTAGGGCTGCGGGCAGGCTCTCCGTTGGCCCCGGCAGTACCCGGAGGAAGGAGTTGAAGGAAATCCTCCTGCAGAGCAATAGCTCTGGCAGCACCATGCGGTTTGCCTCCACTCAGAAGACATCCAATGGCAGCAGTCTGTTGGCAGGGCCATACCAAGAGCAGAAGCCGGAGCAGAGCCCCGAGGTGCTATCACTTGCCCTGGATCCCCTGGAACACGAGTGGGCTGCTGACGGTGGCCCAAGGTGACACGGACAGCATCATCAGGCTGCTGGACCTGGATCCCAGCCTGCTGACCAGGAAAGACTTTGTGACGGGCTTCACCGCTCTCCACTGGCTTGCTAAGCACGGCCACCATGAGAGCTTCATCCAGGTCATCTCCCACGCCCAGAAGAAGGGCTACCCTGTCAATGTGAACATCCCCACGGCCAGCGGCGGGCTCACCCCTTTGCACTTGGCCGCTCTGCAGGGACATGAGCTGCTCATCAAAGTGCTGGTGGGAGCTTACGGGGCGGACACCAGCCGCAGGGACCACAGCGGGCGCAAGGCTTGGCAGTACCTGAGGGCAGACACCTCCAGGGAGCTGAAGGAGCTGGCGGGGGCCTTGGAGGAGGACTTGGCCCAGCTGCGCTCTCACAACACCAACAACAACTGTAAGTCATCTAGAGAGGCCAGGGCAGGGCGGGACTGTGTGGACTCCGGGCCGGAGGGGAAATCCCAGCATTCCTGGAACCTGTCGACCCTCCAACGCTTTGTCAGACAGGCATTTGCTTTCTTCCAAGAGCACTGAAGCTCCCCTGGCCTATTCGCTTGCAAACCCATGCTGAGTATCAGCCAGATGGGCCTGCAGGGAGCTGGGAAATTGGTGAGGGCCAGCGCTCAAAATCCTGTCCAAACAGGGATTAATCCCTGCACAGGGGCACTGCAGCCACCCTGGGTCTCGTGTGGTCTTTTGGGGCTGTGCTGGTGTCATACTGTGGGCCCTCCTTCCCACACTGGCTCACACGCTGGCCCTGCTGCGGGGAGCTCCTTCACCGACACCCCGCATGCCCACAGGGGATGTGACCCACTGTGGGAGGTGGCGTTCAGTGCTGGAGGCCTGGGGTGGGTGTTTGGGCTGCCCGTCCTGGGCTGCCAACAGACTTGTGTGTGACTGTTGGTGGGTCACACAACAACTCAGTGACTTGGCTATCGGTGCCGCCCCGGATCCCAGCAATGCTGTGAGGTTGGACGGGTCCTGGCACCTCTGGTGCTTGAGCAGAGGCACTGGCAGAATGTCAGTAAATATTTCACAACCATACTCTGAGATGCCAGAGGCCTGGCACTGGGCTGATGATGGAGAAGCAACTATGTCTTCAGAAACAACCTCCCCCCAAACACTTTTTTATGTACGCTTCTCTGCTGGCAGGGAGAGTGGGTACAGGCAAGCAGACCGCCCCACCGAGCTGCAAACGCTTTCCAGCTCCCTGTGAGATCCCCGAATCTCCACCACCTGTGCCTCCTCTGGGTTGCTGTTTGTTTATGACAGATAAAGCTGTTTCTTGGTGAAGTAAGAGCTGGAGTACCCAGTGTGGCAGGGCCCAGAGAAGTCTTTTGAAGTGCAGGACAATTCCCACTGGGAACCTCCATCCAGGGGAGTCTGAGATGCTCAGCCCCACTGAAGATAGGGGCTGGAGCGGAGGAGGGATGCCTGGCAGGGCGACATGCAGTGGCTCCTGCAAGGACTGGAGTCCAGCAGCAGCTCTGGAAAGATGATTCATTGCTCAAAACCATGGAAAAACTATGAAGTCTGCGAGATTATCTTTGTTGCTACTGAGGTCACTCAAAAATGCTCGAGAAACATCCCTACAGCAGCATAACCCTGTGTGTATGTCCTGGCATTAAAGGGACAAAGCCTCTCCTCGCCTCTGTGTTTTGTTCACTGAACGGAGCTCTGCCCACCTATTTCAGGTCGCTTTTCACATTCTCAAAGGCCAGGGCTGCTTCAAAATATCTTCAGAAAAACAACTGCCCCTTCCTCTTTTTCATCAGCACGAGACCATTTCTATCTCCTTAAATAGCAGTTCCGTTTGAGAAGTGACTCTCGGGCAGCAAGTGGGGAGTTTCTGTTCCCCATCGCAGCGCCGTTCGGAGGGGATTCAGTTTCTGGGGGTCTGCAGAGGTGACCGAGGGACTCAGATGGTCTCTGGCCTGGCTGTGTGGGTGAATTTGCACCTTGATGCAGAAAGATGCACGGGGAACTCCCTCGAGGGAATTGGAGGCTGTGGGTTTCACAGACCCTGAGCAAACCCCCTTTATCAGATGGTGCTCTGAAATGCTGCTCGGACAGTGGAATTACCCGGTCTGCAGCGGAAGATACATGGAAGAACAGGCTCCGGATGAACGGACAGTGATCCAGTGTCTGGCTAATGGCCAGTCCAGGTGACTGGGTGGGCACATAGATGTGTCTGGACATCTTTTTCATCACCGAGATCAGCAGCAGTCTCATACAAAACACACTGAGAATGTATTTAATGACTGATCTACACTAGTTTTGTAATGCTTTAACAGATTAAAGACCATGGCAACACAGCTCCTTCCAGAACGTCCCTGCCACATCCATGCCACAGTTCAGCTGGCTGGTCACGCAGCGCCAGCTGCACGCACAGCACTGATCTCCCAACACCTGTGATTGCTAGTTCTGGTAACCCAGGTGCTGTTGGTAAGACAGGTGGGTGCACATCTGACTACTGTTTGACCTGTTAGTCCTCCGTCACCCTTCCGCAGCGGCGTGCTGTCAGGGAGAGGGTGCGGGACTGTGCTGACATCCTCCTCTGAGTAAGGCACAGAGTAAACAGTGGAATTAGTGAGAGTTTCCTTGAAGGAGCCGTTTCCTTGGCGTTTGTACCTGCAGCTTAGTCATGCTCCACCAGGAAACCTGGACATCAGCATTCCAACTGAAAGTATAACTGGCAAATGCTACATTAAAATATGACTAAATGATTCTTAGTGTTTTCCTCCCTTTGACCAAAACCCCCTAAAGGCAGCTTTTCCCCCCACCTTTTGGTCATGGGTTTGAAGCTCTACGCTGCTCCGAGGCAAAGCAGGCAGATGCTTCAGGAGTAAGAGCCCTGCTCCTGGGGGTGGTGTGAAACCCACTCATCAACACCAGCCCTGTGTGCCTGGCCTGCAAGGGCTCCTGTCACAGAGCAGAACAAGGGTCTTCTTCAAATCACAGCACCCTTTCTGCTGCTGTACATTGTGTGTGCCCCCAACACCACGCCACTTCCAGGCACCCACCCCCTGCCTCACAGGGTTTATCTTCGTACCCACAGGCAGCGGGTCTGGAGATACAGACACGTTGCAAAAATATTCCTCTAACTTTGCTTCTCACTCCGAAAACAAAAGCATATCCACCAACATCAGTGGACTAGAAGAGCCAAACTCTTTAGATTTTTTCTTTAAAGCCTCTGTGGACGTGTCAGCCACCGTGCCTTAGCCCAGTTCTGCAGAGACCCCTCATCCCCCCCGCAACTCTCACAGGGAAGGAGAGCTATGGGAACAACAGAAACCATTCAAACCCAGAGGTATTTGTGTTGGTTAAGGTTCTGCAGAAGACTGATGTTAACCCAATTTTAATTTGTATTAAATTTACTTTGTGCTGTCCGTTAATGTCCAGTTTGAAAAGCAGATTCAGTCAGATGGGGAAAAACAACGTGAGGGATCATTTTCCAAATCAGCTCCTCGGTATAAGCCACTTCCAGCTAATAAAAATAGGACAGTAATGATAGCAATCGGGAGACTAGCTAATAAATAGTCATAAATAGTTCAATCTATTGCTCAGGAAAGCTTTCCCACAAGTATCACACGGAAAACTCTTCCCATTCCCCAGTGTATAACATCACATTTTTCCCCCTCAGCCAGGCCCTTGTAGACCCAATTAGAGGAGCTCTGCTTGCCAGCAGTGATGGGGAGAGGCAGGGGGTGGTTCGCAGGGCTCCAAGGCTGATCTTCCATCCTCAGCAGCGCCTACTTCCTAAACACCCGCTTCAGAGGGAAGAGCACAGGAGAGATTTAAAAACCATTGGGGTAGAAGTGTTTGCAGCACGCGGGCGTCTGCTGAAACCTATCTGGCAATGCTGTCTGCTGCCCTCCTCATGCAGTGACTTACTCCTTCCCACGACAACGAAGTAGGAACGAGACTCTTAACAGACAGGAATAGAAGCTAGGAGACACCTCTGGAGTGTCCTGAGGCTGGTAAAACTCCCACCCTTGCTCTCCTGTGCTCACAGGAACCTCCAGCACACCACAGGAGGGAGAGAGTGCCGTGAGCTCGGCACGTATTCGTTATGCGTTTACACGTGCTTGGCATATGCTGCTGCCCTGCGTTATTCGCTACCGACTGTAACGTGAAGGAGATAAACCTATTTACTTCCAACACGAAAAGCAGCAACACAGAAGGTGTGGCTGCCTGAAGCTTCCTCAGGAAGCTGCCACCCAGGAATTGAGCCACCACAGCAGGCTGAACCCAGAAAACAGCACCGGAGCGCCTTGCAGCCCTCAGCGTCAGGGTGTGCTTTGCTGCAGCCACATCTGAGACAGGCTTGCACCTGCAGTTATTTCCTGCTGGCCAGAGCATCTATCCCATGTCTGCAGAAGGGAAAAGAGCAGCAGCCACAGCCTCCACCTCCCTGTGCTAACTAGGCGATGTTCCACAGGCCCCAGTTAATGCCGTTGGGAAGTTGGAACTGCTCTGAGTGGCTTAATCCCTTCTTTCTTACATAGCTGTGAACTCTTCCTTTGAGCAGCATCTTGAGTTACTACCCTTCTGCTGAGAATATTTTAAATTAAACTGCCCCCGTGGCTGGCATCAAGACCAGCTCGGTACAAGCAAACACAGCTCCAAACAACTCAGGTTATTAGGTACTCTAGGGAACATGCCAACATCATGTACTACAGTCTATAGGAGCATTGCATCTTGCAGGAGATAAATCTATCGACTGCCCTTCCCCTATTCTTCCCTTCCCTCCTCCTTTATATCCTACGAGAAACTTCCTGTCATCTGAATATTCCACTGCACGTACTCCACAGCCAGGCTCCAAGGGCTGCCCTGCCCCACGTCCTACCCGAGAGCAGCTCCTGGTGCTGCAGGCACAGGGGCCAGACCCACTTGGGCTACCAAGCTGCCATCCTCAGCTGGCCACAGACACCTCAAGAGCCACCTATGGCTCACACAATGGATGGTCAGGGCAGTGCTGACACACTGCTGACTCACAACAGGTAGTCTCGGTGTGTTCAACGAGCACTGTGTTCTTGCTCCCTAGGCAAGTAACATTTCAGCATGTGCCCAGTACTGTAGTGGCATCTCTCCTACTGTTCAACATTTCCAGTTCAGACACACTCTTCCATTAATTCAGGAATGTTATAGGACTGGCCAAGGGGCCTAGCTACACTCACAGTCTACCCTGGATCATGTGGGACAGAGTGATGGAGAGAGTCTGCAGCTGTGACACAAGCCAGCCAGAGGGAACAGACATCCAACGAGCAAGTGTAACGTAACAGAGAGTGTCAGATGAAGACTGATCTGGTTCAGCAAAACGTTTTGTTAGTTCGGATTCCCCTCACCTACCACAGCACACCCCAAACGGGAAGCCACCTTACTCCAGAGGAGCGTTTTCAGCGTGCTTAGCATTCCAGCCCCATAAAACACATCGAGCAGCTATACAGACACACCCTGAGCTAATTCAGACAACGCTTCTTACTTTTCTGAGTAACATTTCACAGATCCACCAGAAATGTAATCCAGTCTTG